TTCGAAAAATTCTAAAACGAAACACAGTGGGTGATACCTATATGGTTAGGTAACGTATCCGTCAACACGACAAGGAAAATTTTATCACAATTAAAATCAATATCTCATAGATTTAACTTTATTGTTTACGGCTACACGTTTATCATTAGGCAGTGTATGTAAAAAATACGATTAATTGAAATCTCAACATGGATCCATATTGTGGTGCAACGATCCCTTATTATAAGAATTGTAAAAGTTGTAGAAAATTGTGCTTCCTCTTATGATGAAAATTGCAATATAAAAATTAGAAATGTTAGGGAATACAAGAATTTGAGATACCATTTTCCTTGTTGCGTTGACCCATACGTTACATAACCTTATAGTTATGACACACAACAGGATGCACGCTATAGAAATAGTGGGTGATACCTTCAGAAATATGAAGGTACTCCCTCCAGTGGCTCCAAAGCGAATGGACTCCAAAAGTCTGAATTCCGTGATTAACAACGATATGAAAAGTCCCTTGATAAAGCCTCGACAGGCGCATATGAAAAAACGCAATTGGGGAACACGTCACATTCTATCTTAAAAGCTACATGTTCCGCCTATCCATTTCTTCTTGAACTGATCGCTTTAAAATTTGACGTAAATAAACGTAAAATTATCCCTGTGCTTAATTAAGCAACACGCCTTAAAAAACATATGACCGAGTTGGAGGTGTAGAGGCACCATTCTTGCCTCGGCATTAAATGGAGGTCAGTGGTCCAGCTTCACGTCCCGACCGCTTCATTCCCAGAGAAAGGGGCCCACCGGTATTCGTTGGGTTTGCCCTGGAGGCGGTCTAATATTTCTGTGTGAAGAATATGAAAATCAGTAAGAATTTTTATTATTTTGTTAAGTAATTTTCTTCAGCCTCCTGTTACTTCCTCTATCTTACGTCAAAATATTCTTCTCAGCACTAAGATCCGAACTCGGGAACACTTCCACGAGACCGAGGTCACAATCCACGCCCAGGCAGAAGCGCTGGGATGGGACAGGGTAGCCAGGATATTTCCTTACAAATATACCTTCAAGACATTTGTCAACGTTTTTAAATATCGCCCTCGAGTTCTGTCTCCACACACTGGAAGTAGGTGGCGCAATACATAAATTTTAATTTCTGTATTATTTGGCATATTTTTTTTTCTTGTTTCGCTTTCAATTTTCACAATCCCGAAAGGCCAGCTGCAAGGATTGCCTCGTGCGGGCACACGCGTACAACAAAAATTAGGTTCGTTTTAACTATTGAATATTTAATTAATAGGCTTGTATAAAACTGTACAAATTGTATAAGGTTTGCCATTACGTTTACTACTAAAATTAACTTATTTTATTATATTGTATATGTGTATAAGTATTGTATTACAAATGTATATGCTATTGGATGACAACTGTAATTCTTAGTTGTGACTGTACCTAGGACGATCTCCACATCCGCATGAGAATGTACCCTCGACAGGATTTATGGAAGGTGAACAGATGAATGAAATGAAATCAGAGGTACATTTTACGCAGGTCACAGGTCATTTAGTCGTTACGTTTCGAGAGACAGAATTGCAAAATGAACGTCTCTTGTTTGTTGAGGAATTGGTCTGAACCTCCCTAATTTTATCTGTTCTCAGTTCCGTCACATCTGTTACAAGTTACGAATAGTTAATGACTACTACGTTCAATGCGTTCATTACTAAATTAACCTCAGTACTGTAACTCCTACGACATTTTATAAAAACTTGCTAAAAAATCCGTGGCTTTAGTCTGCAAGCGAACTGTACCGATCGAGCGATCACCACTTGTGGGCGAAGTTAGTGCCAGCTTTAGCGGATAGAGGGTGTCGCGTGGTCAGCGCAACGAATCCCCACAGCAGTTAATTAAAAAACCTGCTAATCCTTTGAAAAACGTTACAGGGTACATGAAGAGTATATGTATTTCGGAAGCCAACTTCAAGACAATGAGAAAGTATATTTTGAATGCAATAAGGGTACCGGAAGAAAGGAGAAAGAGTTGATTTTCTGCACTCTTTCGGAGAAGAAGCGGATTAATGCCATAACTGCACATGTTACTGATGACTCAGGTAAAATGGCGATGGTTACAGAACATTAGGTGCGCGCTGTGGGTGGCACCTGGCAGGCGGATATGGTCTCATGTAATTTTGTAATGGGAGGGTTTAGAAGCGTTCATGTCTGACCGCAAAATAAGATATTAAAAGAGATTTCGCCCTTACCGTCCGACCAAGATTGATACAAGGCAAGATTCTTAAGCATACGAGTATTTTTCTTATAGATTTTAGAATAACTTCCTTATTTTGGAAAAACTGTTAGACCACCCTGTTGTCTGTGTATCCCCTCGTACCTTCTCCAGGAGTTGCACTACTCCCAGACATGGCCATGAGTCCCGTGGGACTGGGAGCTAAGAATGTGCTGACGAGGGCCAACAGCATATTACCCGACCGACATTACTCTCCTCTTTCAGGTTCCCACGTATTTTGTATTTATGATATTGTTTTTCGGTTAATTTTCTAAATAAAGAACTGCTGTCTGTGTGTGTCTACCCTTCGTAACTTGCGAACCAATTGGGCGATGTAACAAGTCCGAAGGCAAAGCAACTGGGTGCGTAAAATGTCATACGTTTTTTAATCTGTTATTCTAACGACACTCGTACACGCATAAATATAGCTGTCTTGGGAGCAACACTAGCGCCATCCGCTCAGAAGATTTCCGTGACAGTACAAATATTAAGTTAATTTTTTCAACAAGGAAAAGTTACCACGGTTATCACTTTGTAAGCTTACAGTAATGGGGATAACGAAGCATCCGTTCCAAAATATTTAAGATCTGTAGTCACACAGCGAAATCCACCGAACAGAGTTCTCGTTGAGCAGCTGAATTTCGTTCAAGTGATCAAGAAATTTCCAGCGTTTCTCGGAACCCGAACCCGAATGTTCATTGACGTTCTAACAATTGCCCATCGTTGGCTCCTAACCTAAGACAGACGAGTTCAGTCAACACTGTTATCTCATCATTTAATATATTGTAACGTGCAACTTTCTCACCTTATCTTGTAAATGACCATACCAGATAAGAGAGGAGGGTTGCTCCTATAATTTACAAATTCAGCATTTGGATTTACAGATGCAGCAACTATTGGCCAGGGATAGATCAGTCATTACAGGGACGGGCTAAGAACCGAACGGCCGGAGTTCTGCTCCAGGTGGAAGCAAGAGTGTTCTCTTCTCCACAGCGTCCAGAGTAGCTCTGGGACCCTCACAGCTCCCTACTTAATGGTTACTGGGGACATTTCCCCATGAATAAAGCGGCAAAAGCATGAAGCTGACTACGCAGCTTCATCAAAACTGGTGCTGTACCTTCACTCCCCCATACGTCATCATGGCATGCTGCTTAATTAAGCACAGGAACAAATTTAATATTCCTTTTATTGTTATTTGGCTGTATAAATATCATTTTTAAAAGGCATGTTAATTAGCGCACCCTCACAAATATTATTTGCTTAGTAGTTGTGTAACAATGTGGCTACCCACAATATTATTTTTTACAGGGAATGGGAGAATTGTGATAACACATTATAGAAGGGAACAGGAGGAAGAATTCAGGCGTTAATTGAACAATATATCGTACCACGCAAAGCAAGTAAATAAATAAGAAATTATGAAGAAAGTCGTCTTCTGGGATCTGGCGTCGTGTATTCTTTGTTTCAGTCGACGTTTCTCCGAAACGTCGGCTGAAACAAAGAATACACGACGCCAGATCCCAGAAGACGACTTTCTTCATAGTCATCGCCGTGAAAACCTCAAAACTTAAATAAATAAGAAATTAATTTCAAACATCTAAAACGACCTGACCACATATCACAGCTTCTGTCTAGTTCTAAAGCTGATATACATTTGACATGGTCGTTAAAAGCGGACTCCGGTCATCGTATGCAGCCAGTCTATCCCGGTTTCATGTTACCTGAGGTCGCTGGCGTTTAAAGCACACACAGCTCTCAGCGCCGTCTGAAGCAGGGGAATACCACTCTCTTCGCCTCATAAAATACGAGCTTCTCAACATTTTTAATCAGTGTCTTCCTCTCCTCTCCTTTACCGTGTCTGTGACCACCTTAACGTTGCTAAGCAACGGCTCGGTAAACAACTTCCCGCGTCAATGAATACACACGCAACAATCAAGGAACCGTAGAACGCGGTATTTTTTGTTTTGTCCTTGTCTTATCGACCGCCTCTGTAGTCTAGTGGCTAGAGTTCCTGGCTGCTGATCCAGAGGTCCTGGGTTCGATACTCAGCACCGCTCAGCACTATCACATTTTCTGAGAAGTAGTGGGTCTGCAACGGTGTCCACTCAGCCTCGTGAGGATAATTGAGGAGCTATTTCAAGGAAATAGCGGCTCCGGTTAGAAAGCTGAGATTAACGGCCGTGGAGATCCGTTGCGCTGACCATGCGACACCCTCTATCCGCAAAATCAATCCTGAACGAGTATTTTCATGATTTTCCTCAATCTCTCCACACAAATTCCGGAACAGTACTTCGAATGGCCCAAGATAGCTTCATTCTAAATCCCTTCGAATTAACCCATCATTCCACAGTAGCGAATAAGTTACGGGTTGTACCACCGAGAAACCAGGATTCGATTCCCGCTAGAGTCAAAATATTTATCTTTTCTCCGTAACTTCCAGAACGGTTCCGGGGCCCACCGAACCACTTATCAGTTGTGTACAGGGGAATGTTTCCCTTGAGGTAATGAGTCAGGAAAGTGAAACTGACCACTCATCTCCAACTACTACAGCGGTCAAGAAAACGTGGATCTATATATCCACTACCCCATACGTCTTCATGGCATAGTGCTTAATGAGTTAAGTACAGGGACAACTTTACCTTTTTTACCTTTTACTACTTAAACTGCAGCCCTACAAGACAATATATGTAAAGCTTACAGGTGGCGTAAATATTGCTGTCATATTCGGTACTTACTTCACTGGGTAGACATTGTTAAATGTTTCAACAATAGCAACACACAATTTCGATGCGAAATAGCGTCAGTATATCACAAGTCCTGTCCGTGTGTACCTATGACCTTCACGCACCTGCAGTGCTTCTGCGCAACTGACGACAGCGGCAGCCTACTAACCAGGCGTGACACGTGGCAAGTTGGGAGAATCCATTACACAGGGGGAAACAGCTTGCGTTATCATTTTTGCTATGGTACGTGACTGTTGTTTAGGATCCGTGTTAGACGGTGCTCCAAATCCAGCCATGGAGAGCATCGTAAAATAACCCCCCCCTAAAAATGAATATATTTTATTTTCTTAGTGCACACTCTGAGGCCGCGCCATAGCTCAAGCGGTTAGTCGCTGGCTCTCCACCGCGGCGGCCCAGGTTCGATCCCGGGGTCTGGTCAAGTGGGATTTGTGGTGGACAAAGTGGCGGTGGGGAAGGTTTTCTCCAAGTACTTCGGTTTTCCCTGCCAATCTTCATTCCACCAATTGCTCCACAATCACCCTAACATATCATCTGGGGCTGGTACAATAGGCCAGAAGTGGCCGCAGTACAAGGAACTTAGTCCCACCCCACTAGCAATAAAAAAATAGTGCACACACTTGGACAGGGTGATCTTCAGTGTGCAAAATTTGGTACTAGTGCCCTTATGCTCGCCCGTAATACAAATATACACATAATCATAAAATGAATTATGAAGTGAACTGCTATGCATTCAGTTGTTTGGTCATCTTTATTGGGCACTGAAAGAAACTTAGCACGCATGGGGAGAAGAGGAATGCAAATAGGATTTTGATGGGAATACAAGAGGAAAAGAGATAACTAGCAAGACCTAGATATAGGTGGTAGGATAATATTAAAATATATCTTAGATAGATATGATTGGGTGGTATTAGCACGATTCATCTGACTCAGGATAGGGATAGGGGCAGGCTTTTGTGAACACATTAATGAACTTTAGGTTTCCGTATAATATTGGTAAATTCTTAAGAATTTGAGCGAATAACGGCTTCTCAATGAGGACTCCGCTCCGTGAAGTTAGTTAGTTAGGTAGTTGGTTACTTGGTTGGTTCATTGGTTGGTTGGTTGGTTAGTTTGTTGAACGAAAGTTATTAGCTTGTATCTCTTATTGGGAGGGCACACCAAGGAAACTGGCAACTGCAACGCAGCCGCAATCAGTCTGAGTTGAACACAGGTTACTGAATGGAGCAGCAGAATTCTCGGAAATTGCGGATGCGTTGCGGTTGCGTTGCGGTTTCCAGTTTCCTTGGTGTGCCCTTGCTCTTATACTGTATAAAAAGTGAGTTCTGAACTTGCCTTGCTTTGTCCAGTAAAATATTAGCCTAATTATATACAAATACAAGCAACTACCAAGCATACAACAAAACAAACAAACTACTTGGCCTGTAGTCCGTAAGCGAACTATACCGACCGAGCGACCGCCGCTTATCGGCGAAGTTAGTGCTAACTTTTGAGGATAGAGGGTGTCACGTGGTCAGCGCAACGGATTCCTACGGCCGTTAAGCTTGGTTTTCTGGACCGGAGAGGATATTTACTTGAAAAAGCTCCTCAATTATCCTCACGAGGCTGAGTGGACCCCGTTCCAGATCCATGACTTTTCAGGAAATCTGATAGCACCGGGAATCGAACCAGAGAGCTATGGACCTGTAGCCAGGAACTCTGACCACTAGACCACAGAGGCCTGGCTTTACAGAAATTCGCTCACACGAAGAATTATAATGGGGCTCATATCCTCGACTTGCTTTCTCATCTGAACGCGTATTCGCTTATCCGAAATTTCTTCCGAACACAACTGAGTGAACACTTGCGAACAGCAATGGACAGAAACGAATACAAAATCTTCCAATAAGTTTACTTTTTTTCTGATCTGGTGTGCATTTTGTGTAAGTGTCCGCAGTTTTATTTTGCCAGTTCTTATAATTCTATTTGTTTTGTAGCAAAAAATAAGACTTCCAATCTTTATACCACCACACACTCACTCACACACACACTCACTCACTCACTCATGGAGGTGAGTCCTTTAAAAGCCGCCAATTCTGCAGCTACTCAAGAATTTCCCAGAATTTTATGGAACCACAAGGTTCATTACCGGGTTCACAAGAGCCCTCCACTAGTCTCCATCCTGATCCAGATTAATCCAATCCATAACATCGCATTCTATCTCTCTGAGATCCATTTTAATATTATCCACCCACCTATGTCTTGGTCTTCCCAATGATCTCCTTCCTTCCGGCTTTCCCACCGATATCGTAATGCATTCCTTCTCTGCCCATTCGTGCTACATGCCCTGCCCACCTCATCCTCCTTAACTTGATAATTCTAATTACATTTGGAGAAGAGTACAAGTTATGAAGCTAATCTTTATACCATAGTCTAATATATTTTGAATGTTTATATATTTTTTTTTTCACAAACCTAATCCTCTAATCGTTCCAGCCGCACTATGGCCCTGGGGTCGACTCAGCCTCTAACAGAAATGAGTACCAGGAATCTTCCTAGGGGGTAAAGCGCAGCCGACGCGTAAGGCTGAACACATCGTCAACTCTGGGCCGATTTTCTAGAAAAAAATATGAACCTCAACGTCCCGAAAATCTATGGGTCTCTAAGACCTATTAACAGGGCTAGCTTTACTCATACATGTATATATTTTCAGTGTTTCAGTTACTAAGACGCTGGTTTGGATTGGTGAATCGGTTTGTTTGATCTTCAATAGACGTAACTACTCGTACAATTAGTTCTCACACTCTCAAGATTACTGTAACTATAGCACACGTAATGTCACACACCGGGTCTTCTAATTCTTCTTCTGGACGCACCGTTGTTCCCTTGGAACTTCAGAACTGAACTGAAGTCAATACCCATTCCTGTATTCTCTCATATCCTCTCGGCACGGACCACGCACAGAGAGCACAGATCTATTGTTGCGTAGCGCAGGCGACACAAAAAAACAAGTCACGTGATAACTATCTCGTCAGTCTATTGGCGCGCTGACTGTTGCGTAGCAACGAGCTAAAACATTCGTCCTACTGTTGCGTGACCTTAAACGAGAGGGTGTTTATCGCGCCGTTACCTAGTTATACACGTTACGTTATATTTCTTTAGCTCAAGAAAAGTAATTTTATTTTAGGGTCAACTTTTTGTCTATCGGAAACTTAATCCCCAGATACAACATTGCGTCTGTTGGAAATGGCGATTCGCATTACGAAATTTCGCTTTACGAAATCTACCCCAAAACGCAACAATTCGTAAGAGTGCGGACTGTCTGTACATGTAGAGATTCATTCTTGCACTCAGAAGTCAAATGGTACTGCAAACTTTAAAGACATTGCACAGAATTGTTTCCTTTCTACACAAACAAAAAATACACATCAGAGATATTAGTCTCCCACTCCACCCCACAACCCCCAACAGAACGTTTTTGAGTTCAGAGGCTTCCGACTAATTCAGCTTCGTCCGTTCAGCAGGAAATCCGAAGATGTTTAATGGGTCAATCGCAGTGTCGGGGTATTCCTTACACCCTCTGCTACCGATAATGAGGGGCAAACAAATGACAGGGTTCTGGAGGGACCATCAGTTTAATAATATGTTCCACTGGAAGTCGCTCGGGCTGCGTCAAGACCTCCCAGACTGAGACCCAGCTCCTACGGAAACTATTCACAGCATAAATGTCACAAAAGAAAAAGTATACAAGTAAACTGTGATACATTTTTTATATCTTGCTACACCATCTGTTCCATGTGGGACACAGTAGCTGACTTTCATGATGCTGTCTCGAGAAGTGAGATTCAGTAATATTCTCCGTTTAAAACATCTCAGAGTACGTCATGTCTTGAAAAGGCGACCTCACGGAAGAAAAGTCTAGTGTTCAACGGAATTTCCGGTAGGGCGACTCCAGTTCCCATCGTGTGGTGAAAATGTAATCTAGTGACGTAAAGAACTACGTCCTTACCTCATGATGACAGAAGAGTAGGGGATATTCCGTATCACTCTGACACTAATAGGAAAAATGTGTCTGATTGCAGTAATGTAATTAATATTAAAGTTAAAAAATTTTCGCTTAGTGGGGGATGGGGTCCAACTGGGTCCACTCGGCACGGCGGCCACTGATTAGCCTATTGTAGCTTGCCTCGGGTGATTATGATGATGGAGTATTTGGTGGAATGAAGATTGGCAGGGGGAAATGGAAGTACTCGGAGAAAACCCGCCCTAGCGACACTTTGTCCACCACAAATCCCATTTGACTAGACCCGGGATCGAACCCGGTCTGGTACAATAGGCCAGAAGTGGCCACAGTACAAGGGACTTAGTCCCACCCAACTATGAATTAAAAAAAACCCTTTCTTCATCTTCACGAAGTTCCTTTTTTCTTACTGATTCTACAGCCCCCTTGGGCCCTGGCTTCTGATTTTCAGTTTTATGATCATTTTACAGACGGTAGGACTCCTCGGACGAGTGATGAGCTCCTCTCAAGGCCTCTACCTAAACACAGGACAACATAAACACTGAATAAATATATACAGATACCAAACATCTATGCCTTGTGTGGGATTCGAACCCATGATCCCGGCTTCCAAGCGAGCGAAGACAGTTCATGCCTTAGACTGCTCTGCTAGCGTGAACAGCTTTTCCTCATTCCCTCAAGAGAATTACGGAATTATACCTCAGATAGGCCACGATATCTCCCTTCCAGCTACTGACACGCACACACAGGTTGCCTCTTGCCGAGCTGTGAAGTTGCATTCGGGATGTGGGAACACAGGCCATCCTGACTAAAGTTTGCCAAAGTCTATCCCAGTCCCTGCAGGCAAAATCTTTCCTGATCCTTCCTAGTTTATGGTTTTCTCGCCTATTGTACGAGCCCCAGATGATAGGTGAGGGTGATTGTGGAGCAATTGGCGGAATGAAGAGTGGCAGGGGAAACCGAAGTACTCGGAGAAAACCTGTCCCAGGGCCACTTTGTCCACCACAAATCCCACTTGACCAACCAGCGACTAACCGCTTGAGTTATGGCGCGGCCCCCAGTTTATGGCTAATCCACAATCCTACCACTGGACGCAGTGCCATTGTCGTTAAATAAACCACAAAGAAAGAAACTGGGTCTCATATAGCAATCAATGTGCTTCAAATAGTAGAAGAATACTTACCAGGACCCATCGTTCTATTACATCGTAACTGGTGTGAAAATGTACATATTCTTCCACTTGCTGAAGACCGTTGCATCATTAGTAATAACGCGACTGCGCAGAATGGGATGACGCTTTAAGAGAACAAAATGAAGGGCAGGAAGAAGCCATGACACTTAGCGATGGCCACAGTCTGAACTGCTGTAGCAGCTTTACTTGATAGAGGCTACAAGTAACATGCAGCCATGTTCCTTTTAGCTGCGTACCATAATGCTTAATCAAATAAACAAATGCGCATCGCTAGTAATGGAAATGTCATGGTAACACGAGGAATGCAGGTCCCACAGAAGACCAAGTCACTTAAAACAGTTACTGTGTAACAAAATGGATTACTATAAGTGATAGATAAACACGCTGTATCATTCACGGGCTTCATTTGGCTGTATTGGAACTACTTACTAATTGCCGGCCCATGTATCGCAGTATTTGTAGGCGTCGGAAGAAGATATCGACCTAGTTGACAGAAACATATAAACTTGATGTAAGAACAACAAGCAGATTATGAAGTATCATCAGTTAGACTCGCACTTTGTATTCGTCTTATACAGGAGTGCATTTGTAAAAATAAAACGCCGTGCTCCACACAGTTTCAGGCTGAAGGAAATGAGTCCCATCTGGTTTTTACTTGACTATAGCTTTCTGTTTTCAAAAGCGCAACCGAAGGACAAACAGCTCATGAAGAGAGCATAAGCTTACTTAATGAGGCTGAAGTTTTCGCCTCCAAATTTTTTTCTTTCGCTCTACGGCCCCAATTTGGGCCTTGGTCTACCTCTATGAAACTTTCCGTTTCACTTCGGTTTTCTAGATCTAAGGTATTCGGTAGGACTCCTTGGAAAGGTGATCAGCTCGTCGCAAGATCTGTACCTGTACACAAACACCAAACACCCATGCCCTGTGTGGGATTCGAACCCACGATCCCTACATCAGTAGGGAAGGTAAGGAAAGGCAGGGTAAGGCAAAGTTCTCCTTATGCTTAATTACTTAAGCACCACGCCATGAAAACTTTTGGGAAATGGAGGTATAGCTCCATCATTCTTCAAGTCGGCACTAGATGGAGGTGAGTGGTCAGCTTCACGCCCCTGCCTCTATACCCCCGAGGAAAATCTCAACAGTACCGACCTACAGGAGGCTGGATCGATCCAAGCTGGCCTGGAGGTTATGGAGGAGAGAAATATCTTGCCCCTGCCAAGAATCGAAACCCGAACTTTCCAGCCTGCAGCCCCTCGGTGTCCCAGCCGGATTACCCCGGTTCCATCATCAATGTGGGAGGGGTAGAAGGGAATACAATTCATAAGAAGTACATCTGTGTCGTACAGAAAATTGCCGACAAGTCGAGACGCTTCAGTTCGAAAATTTACATAGAAATTATATCCCATGACTTCATCGGGACTTGAACCCGAAACCTTCCGGCTTGTAGCATAGTGCCTCAACCAACTACGCTACCGCGTGCCCTTCACCTGCTACTGTTCTGCTGGGAAACAAACATAGAAGAGATGACTGGGACAACATCTCTCCTTTGTCTCTTTAGGGACTTAATACTTTGTGGCTTATTAATTGTCTCAAAGGCCCGTAACCCTTTATTTCGGAGACAAAATATATGTCTTTCGTATGATTACGACAATAAACTAGGGTACGCTTATTTCCTGCCGATCACAGTGGCCGCGCGGTCAAAGGCATGAACTGTCTTCGCGTGGGTTCTAATCCCACTCAAGGCATGGATGTCTGTCTTAGGTAGCGGTCTTGTTACGGGCTGATACCCCGTAAAAGGAGTCCTACCAGCTCTCTTAGATTATGAAACTGATGTGAAACGAAGCATTTCAATGATGCCCAATGCTCAACAGAAATAGCAGAGGAAGATATTTATTTTCTAAAAGGTCGCTAATTAACTGATGCTTGTAATGAAGATTTAATGTGTTTTTCTAGCAGGGACCGAATTATGACGTACTAAGTCCCGTAAAGGGTTGAAGCGTTGAAATGATGTTGTTGTGTGTTGCAGGGAAGCAGCAGTGTGGTGGGGGCGGAATGTGAGGGCCACAGAAAGGGGAAAGGAAGGACGGGCTGGCCACAGCATGTCTGGGCTCTGGAGCTCAAGCAGGAACAGCTATAGCACACGACACCATCATCACTATGTTAAATAATTTATTATTCAAACGACAGGCTAAAATATACTGTAGTGTTAGTTAAGCATACCCAAGCACTCACTGTATACACAACTGGTCAACACAAGTCAAAATTTGGCTCCTGGCGGCAAATATTTAAATATAAGTGAGAAGAAAATGATTATCATGCTTAAAACCGTGGAATTTCTTAAGATGTGGCCAGAATAGCGAGAATATGAAGTGCTGGGTTGAAATGATTTTGTTATAATTTCATAATTACGAAAGTGTTGTAGTGTCAATATTGTAGGAGGCATATGGAACTATGACGTCTCGGTGCAATTTCTGTTCACACCATGCTGAATAACCCCCCCCCCCCCAATGAAAATTTCACAACCTTCAAATATATGGGGACGACGCTAAAATATTGAAATTTGACTCATGAAGAGAATAAAAGGAAATAAAATTCGGGGAATGTCTGCTGTCGTTGAGTTCAAATTATTTTGTCTTCTAACCTGATATTTTAAAAATTATGATTAAGCCATAAAAACTATAATTTTCCCGAAGTTTTCTATGGGTGTGAATCATGGTTTTTCACAATATAAACTGGCGGTATTTCAGAAGAGGGTACTGAGGAAATTATTACACATAAAAGGGATGATATAAGGGAACGTTGGAGTAAAATACATAATGAGGAGCTTTACACCTCCTACTCCTCGCCAGATATTATTAGAATAATCAGATCAACAAAGATGAGATAGGCGGGGCATGTGGCTGGCATGGAAAAGAAAATAATTACACAGGCTATTTCGGTAGGAAAACTGAAGGAAATAGACCACTTGGAAATGTAGTAGTAGGTGGAGAAAAATACAGAATGTTCACAAGAAAACGAAACCTTGTAATGCCGTAGATAGGCCGGCTACTTATCCGGTTTACCCCTCGTACATCCCGCTAGTTCTAGTCACTCGGTTCCAGAAGAGATACGCACGAAGTTGTCTTCAGAACAACTGTTAAATACCCGTCTTCATTCTGTGGCTTGAAACACTCAATTCAAGTAGCACACAAAACCGAAATGTAAAATGAGAAGGAAACACCAAATGTTACAGAAAATGTTCAAACTGGTTGAGTAGCATGTAAACTGTGCGTTTGGTATTAAGAAAACTCAAGTGATTGATATTACAACAAAAGCTTACACTAGATATTCAGCACTAACAAGTGTTAACAATGGTTAGTTCGCAACTGGGCCCTATTAGCAAATAAACTAGACTTCTTGAAGAACCACGATGGGATGCAAAATTTACTATTAAACATACCTTACTTCTACTTCTTTTGGCTTATTTTGGACTTCATCCATCGTCTGGTATAAAAGACAAAAGACCATGCATTATCTCCAGTTTTTACAATCGTTTTTAACTGAATTCATGGAATTTAACCTATACTTCTGTTTTTTTACATTGTTGACATGTGCATGCTTGGCACAAATTTTCTACTATGTCTTTACTGTGATTTTATTCTTTTCTCCCACTGATGGAACCGGTTGTCGGTTGTTCATAGGTTGTTTTTCTACAGACCGGGGTTTGTCCAGTGATTGAGACTAGCTCTTTCTAACGGGCCCAACTGAGTAGGTTTATCCTTCCCTACCCGCCTGAAGACGGAGATAGATCCAGTCTCCGAAACGTCGTGGTCTTTTGTCTTTACATACCAGACGATGAATGAAGTCCAAAAAAGCCAAAAGAAGTACAGTATACACCATCGTCAGAATCCTTTCAAGTCTATACCTTACTTCTGTGCTACGTATCCAAGGAAAATTCTTTCCAAATTCTTTATAAATTTAATGCTTACCTTTTTGTATTGCTAGTGGCGTGGGACTAAGTCCCTTGTACTGCGGCCACTTCTGGGTTATTGTACCAGCCCCAGATGATAGGTGAGGGTGATTGTGGAGCAATTGGTAGAATGAAGATCGGCAGGGGAAACCGAAGTACTCTGAGAAAACATTCCCCAGCGCCACGTTGTCCACCACAAATCCCACTTGACCAGACAGGGGATCGAACCCGGGCCGCCGCGGTAGAAAGCCAGCGACTAACCGCTTGAGCTATGGCGCGGCCAATGCTTACCCTTACACGCATAAAAGACATTTCCTTACATCATAGACTACAGTAATACACAAGATGGCAGCTAGATGCCACGGAATATTATTTTCTATGATTCTTCGATAGAGTGCAGCACCTACTAAAGCTAAGACTGTGGCAAGCGATTTTATACATAAAGACGAATTTTATTTTGCCGTTTCCTTCGACATTTTTCGTGATATACTAAAATTCAGGCTTACCTGAATCGGAGTATTTGCGGCAAGACCGGTTTTCAATATTGCAAACTTTCGACCGTTTAGGGTGGGACCACACGAGCGCACGAAGTACGTCCGTTGCAACGAACGTATTTTAAGACGGACGTTGCTGAGGACATCACACAGTTGCAGAATGTGGTGCGTAGTTTTTGTCTGCATTGGAGCCAGAAGAAAGCGTTGCATTCGCCTCTTGTTTATTTCTACAACGGACGCATTTTGTGCGCTCGTGTGGCCCCAGCCTTACATCCCGTATATCTACCTATATACACGCCATTGGTTCCGCCATCCGAGCCCCACTGTGACTCATCTTCACTTTCAAAAACTAGTAACAGATCACAATTACAGAATTTGTTATTAAAATGCGTCCGATGGAGAATGCAACCCTCATCCTAAAATTGAATTTATGGAAGAGAAATTCTTCGACTTATGCACTTCCACGATGATACCAAATTATGGTATCCCTTTACTAGTAAATAGCCAATAATTCGATGTCAAATTCTGGCCATGGGTTGTCAGTCTGTGGCATAATTTATGATGCTGCCAGTACCTATACTTCGTCGTGTCGTACGGTTGGATAACTTATGAAATGAATTTGAAATTTTTGGAAGCAGGCGATCGTGTTCTAAAAGAGGTAACATCCCGAAATTTGCCTTGAAGAACAGGATATTTGGTCTCCGGGCCGAGACTTGAACCGAGTACCTCCCGAATACAAATCTTGACCGTTACTACCATCAGAGTCTGCCCAGTTTGTCGATGGCAGTGGCATGTTCATATGACTACAGTTCGAGCGAAATTCTTCAATAAATATTGTCAAATTACAGCACTGCCAAATTGTTTATAACAACTAAATCAAACAAGCAGATGCGCACTGGATTTAGACAATGATAAACTCCCGTGATCGAGGTATCTATAAATTCAAAACAAACTCCATTGCTTTAGTCCGCAAGCGAACTATACCGACCGAGCGACCGCCGCTTGTCAGCGAAGTTAGTGCCAACTTTTGCGGATAGAGGGTGTCGGTGGTCACCGCAACGAATCCTCTCGCCCGTTAATTTCGGTGGTTTTCTAGACCGGAGCCGTTACTTTTCCATTCAAGTAGGCCCTCAGTTATCTTCATGAGGCTGAGTGGACTACGTTCCAGACCCACTACTTCTCAGAAAATCTCTTAGCGCCGGGAATCGAACCCGGGACCTCTTGATCTGTAGCCATGAACTCTAACCACTATACCACAGAGGCGATCTCTAAATTCAAATGTCCACAAAAAAATGCTTTTAATAAAAACAAGCCTTTTTAAAATTTGATGTACTTATATGGACAGCATTCTGTGAATGTGACATTCGTCATTCAGTCCATTAATCGCTGTCACTACAAGTCACTTTCTGGAGTAGTCTGACATGGTCATTTTTGAAACCAAGGAAATAAGACGACATGATGGACGGTAACGCTGAAGCAACATACAAAGATTGTAAAGCACCTTGAAGGAGGGACTTCAATATGTCAATTCGATTTTAATTAAATTAATGAATAATTTGTATGCTCGAAATTTGCCACGTCAAAGTGAACTAACAGCTATTAACATCAGAAAGTAATAGTTCCTAATTCCCACATACGAGTATATCCCCTCTTTTCTTTGAGGGATATTTCAATTTTTAATACAGTGTATTGCATTGCATGGAGAGACATAGAGCTTACAATACTGATGTTAATGACAAACTGTATTCCATGTCACATTTATTCAGCTAATGAATACAAAATATTTAAAAAAGAACTACATTTTATGTCACATGTATTCAGCTAATGAATATAATAATTATACAAACTGAATTTTATGCCGCATTTCTTTAACTGGTGAATATAAAATATTTGACAAATTATATTTTATCTCTGATTCAAAAAGTGAATAAAAAAATTGACAAACTTTTCTATCATACACATATATGCAACTGGTGAATACAAAATATTTTAGAAACTATATTTGATGTCTCATTAGTTTAAATGTTGATACAACATATTTGGCAATATAATAGCAGCGTCAGGATTCGATTTCAAAGTCGAGTCCCCTTCACTAGTCATATTTACCTCACGTCTTGTGTCAATATCGCATTTGTTATCATAGTGAATATGAAGCGTAAGGTTGATGTATCTGTACTCTGTGGCTACCCAAATGTACATGACCAAATTACAATAACTACTCTACGTGTAAAGCAAATAAATAAATTAAACCCTAATTAAAAGTGAATGATTTATTTATTTTCTAGCTGCAAATTATACAGTGCGTTCAGTTAAGGAGGAAACTTCGCAACACCGCTGACCCGACCCAACATTCCTCACCGATTCCTGCTGTAACTGCTGATATTAGAATGAGTCATTAGCGCTGATAAACGCGGGCAGTTGCAGTTACAGCAGCAATCTGTGAGGAATATTGGGTCCGGTCAACGGTGTTGCGAAATTTCCTCCTTGATTGAACTCCCTGTATTATAATTCTCCAATTTCCAGAATTTCATCCAGGAAAAAACATCCGTAGATACCAATTCGCCCATCAACCCTTTCACTCACCCATTTTCTCCTCTTCTCTCAGGGTTTGAACGTCGACTTCCTGAGGTGCATCTTACTTTGAATGTACTGAATATTCCATTTGTAAATAGCGTAAAATATCTCGGTGTAATCTTCGATAGGAAACTGACATGGATATTGCACATAGAAGTGATCGAAGTCAAGAACTTCATATCATTTATTAGAGTATTCTCCCTATTCAAATTGAGGGATTAAGCGCTAACAATAAATTCACTCCCCACAAAGAACTCGTTACGATTAAAATGACTTATGCTTGCCCCGTCTGGGAGTTTGCGGCAGACAGCTAACTACTGAAATTGCAGCGCCAGCAAAACAAGGTTCTCCGCAACACTGGCAATTTTTCAAAACGTACACCGGTTCGCGATTTGCACATGGCTTTCAAACTGCCGTACGTACATGATTTACTTACTTGTTTGAGCCCTTCTGGAGGAGTTGCAGCTACTCAAGAACTTTCCAGCATTTTATGGAACCCGAAGGTTCATTACCGTGTTCACAAGAGCCCTCCACTGGTCCCTATCCTGAGCCAGATCAATCCAATCAATACCATCCTATCTCTCTAAGATCCATTTTAATATTGTCCATCCACCTACGTCCTGGTCTTCCCAGTGGTCTCTTTTCGATTATCTAATAAAATTATGTATGCAACAAGCAGAACTCATACAAAATCATGAAAGTTCACACATTCGCAATCTGGACAAGGCGAAGTCCGTCACAGGAAATATAATAGGCTTAAACGTTGCGGTGGTCAAACATACAACCGTTCAAGTAACTAGACTGCCATTGTAGCGTGAGCTACTAAGGATGGGGCATGATCTGCTGTACTGAGACTATGCATTGAATATACATACGCAGTGTCATACCATTTAATTACATGTAAAACGTAGGTATTTTGTCCAAACTGACAACGGACTTGGGTACTACTGACTGTGTCTCTGATAAATGACAGACCCGTCCTGTCGTCAGAGAGGGCGCCCCACATGGGCAGAACACTAAGTAGTAGAGATTCTAAATGGGTCTGAAGATGGCGTATAACACTCAGAATTGCTGTTTGGTTTTTTTTTACCTTTTCCATCACCCGGTATTCTAGAAAGTAGAAAACACGACGTTTCGGAAATTGGATTTATTTCCGTCCTCAAGTGAGGGAGGATTAAATAGCTGTGTGAATTTGACAGGGTTGTCCAGTGATTGAGATCAGTTCTCTCTAAGGGACAGAACTGAGATGGTGTGTTCCCCCTCACTTGAGGACGGAAACAGATCCAGTTTCCGAAACGTCGTGTTTTCTATCTTCTAGAATACTTGACGATGAAGAAGGTCCAAAACCCCAGTAATTCCAAGGACAGTAACTTTCTTGACAGTATCTAATATCTGGACATGAGCCCCAGATGGGGCTCGACGCCGAGACACATTGACTGACTGACTGACTGACTGACTGACTGACTGACTGTTGGTGGCAAAGTCTTTGATAGATACTAGCTTAAGCTTGACAGCGGTCAGGCCTGCGACCGTTCGAGTGACTAACTGCTGTTTCGAAGTGTTCATATAGGTTGAGGCATAATCTGCTG